TATATATATATATATAAATGCTTCTATTTATTATATTGTACTTCCAGTTAGAGATGTGCAATTTTTCGATATATTGCAACTTTCTTTTCTTGAACCGCAATGCGATATGTAACTGACTTTTAAATTGCATGATTTAAAATCTGCGATTAATATTCTATATTTGTTTTTTAATTGTTTAAGTTATGTAAATAATTTGACTAATGCGCAATAAAAACCAATATCACTTTCTATTTCGTGAAGATATTTTTTCTTTGAAAACATTCCGTTTTTTACTTACGGATTTTTAATGGTGTTACATTACAGAAAAACAAATGTTTTCGTATTTGCTGCGTTTTAATTGATATTTTTTTATTATTCGATCAGCTATGTTTTGTACTCCAATTCTGTAATTACTATAATTCTGTAATTAACGATAGTTCGATATCGTTATGTTGTTGTTTTTTCTATGTATATATAATATTTGCGCGATAGTAGTAATACAACTTTATTGAAACTACAGAATCGGGGTAACTAACTAAACTACCAAAAATTTTTAGTATGTGACAAAAACAGTTGAACAAATTTATAATATATACACAAAAGTCGTGATGCCATGATCGCGTTCATTGCGATTTTTAAGGAAGTAATCGCGATGCATAATTTTGAAAAAAATTACACATCTCTTCGTCCATTAAGTTTTATCGTATGAAACTCATATTTCACACGTCTGCAAGATGCGAGTATATTAGTTGAAAAAATCTTCAACTTCCGCCAATTCTCTCACTCGTGCCTCTTGATGAGCCCAACGGGCTTCTGCCAACCTATCAGATAATCCCCATTTGTCATGATAAACACGTTGACCGCAACTTGGACATTTCTTACCCCCTTTAATACAAAAAATAAAAAGATTTTCATATAATTTTTCTATAATATAATTTAACTAAATAAAAAACTTTTATTTTTACCATGGAATGGCGGAGTCTTCATGTATGTCACGAGACATTTTAAATGGAAGAGATGACCACAATAAAGTCTTTCGGCGTGGAAATCCGCATTTTCGTCGATTACAATTTCTTTGGGATCTGTTGGCAAGCACTTTACTTTGCAGTGTTGACAGAGTTCTTGCGGAAAAGCTTTTACACTCCTGCACAAATTAAAATGTAATCAAATAAAAAAACTAATAGTTAAAAATATGTAATAAAAATGTGACATAAAAATAAAAATTACTTTATGAGAAAAGAAACAACTGTGTTTAATGACGGTGATGGTGTAAACGGGTTTTGTTGTTTCCTCAGTGGTGGCTCGACACATTGCCTTGCTAATTCCCCTCCTTGTCCAACTAGATAACGATTGAACAGTGGTGGGAAATTCGTATCAACATCACTGTAACTGTAAATAAATGATGTAAATTAGTCACATTGGATTTGAATTTTTATTATAATAGTTTCAAAAAAAAAAACTAAACATACGTAACACAATTAGTAGGATAATTATCTGGCACTTCAAGCTTGGTCTTAAAATGATACAAATCTTGATGCAGTGTTAGATTAATAGAAGAATTCTTTTGTTTTAACTTGAACTCGTCCTTATCCCCTAAAAGCTTTTTCAATATTGATATTTCCTCATAGCAGCAAATGAGAGGATTCTCCTCAATGAAATTCCTAATAAATTTTAAAATTGGCAATATCTACAAATATACGAATGAATTGTATTAAATGTAAATAACTTGTATATGTGTGTGTAACTACATATAAATCTCTTCAAGTACAAACCTGTGCTTTATTCAACAAACGCTTGCACTCTTTTTCGCAGACTTCTGTTAGTCCATCGAGCAGCTTCGCGGATAGAGTTTTACTCTTTAACTCAACAAACAATGGCGATGCAGGATAATCCTTTTGGAATTGGATGCACACAACGAGTTGCTTGAACGGTGTTTTTCTGCAAGACAAACAAATCACAATAAGCAATGATACGATGTTATTTTGACAGTGTGATGAAAGCACAATATGGAGTTTTTACGTTATTTCGACGCGGACCATGCTTGGTACACAAGAGACGAGGCGGCTTCCGTCAACGACATTATGACAGAGCTGTGATACATCTTGCAATTCATCATCAATAAATCCCATGAGCAAGTGAGGACAGGCTAAGAAAAGATTGATGATTTTTACTCTACTTCTCGATTAACTTAATCAGCTGGTTATTTTATTGAGATTAATCGCGTTTGTCGTTAAACAGAATTGATTAATCACGGTTGACACTCAATCAAGATGATAAAACCGGCCTTAAGTAAAAATAATAATAGAATTGACGTAATCGCGACGCAGCATAACCTTCCATTCATGACCTAACGATCCTAACGAGTCAAATTGCGTGGTAAATAATAAAACGATCGGTTTTTACGTCGATATTATTTTTACCGTGATATTAATAAGAAGATCACCTTTCAATCGATCTCTTTCTCCTCTTCGACGTTTTTTGCAAAGAATCATAAGATTCAAAGTCAACTAATCATACGTAAAAGGACATACATAAAAGTATTTCGAAATACAATACCTCACTCTTAACGATGTCACGTGATATCGTCCTGTGTATACTGTGTACTATTTATGATTTTAGAAAATGGTTAGAAAGTGTTAGGAAATGATGATTAGCGTGTATTCAGTGATGATGTGAGGCTAAGAGTTGTTTGATAAAACAAAAAAAAATAAATCGAATTAACGAAAATTAAAGAAATTTTTGTTTCGTATTTTTCAATATTCTTCACTATTTCTATCTTTTTTTAACAGAATTATTTAAATTTTAAAGTGATTGTGACCGACAGACGCAACAACACACCGGTGTCAAATTCAATGAGATAGTAGCTCCATCTGGATTGAATATCTTTAGGTACAGGACGTACCTAACCTATTCTGTGTGTCGTATCACGTGTTTATAGGTAATAGGTGTAAAGCTAAAGCAAGTTGAAAGAGAATAATATTTCTCGATAA